TTAAAAAAAAAAGAAAGAAATTAACCTGTGATCCAAGTAACACATAAATAAGTGAAAACTTCTGCGCTACTCACCTTTCCCGGGGTTTTACAAGCGGCACTGCAGGCGGCTGGCTGGGCTGAGATCCGTTAGCTGAATTCCCTACAGTCACCGGCTGGGGCGTAACGACATCTCTGAAAACCATAATAAATATTGATATTGTTATAAGAAACTACCTTTCTAACACCTGCGGTAGCTACCGTCTTTAAATCCTTTCTACTTTTGCTCACCTATCCACGTTAGGGCATCGAAACTAGAACTGAGAAAGATTATAGAGTGAGAAATCCTGAGAGAAGTTCTTGCTTGAATATTCTTTCTACTAAGAACATGGGCAGCAGGGATGGAAAAGGGCAGGGTCTGAAGGAAAGAGAAGAAAAATATTAAGAGTCCCGCTGGGCAGGCTGGGGCACACCTATCATCCCAGGACTCAGGAGACTGAGGCAGAAAGATTGAGGTCAGCCTGTAGACCCTTCCCTAAAATAAATAAATAAATAAATAAATATGTCTGATTCATAGTGCAATGTTAGGGTTAAGGGTGCTGGGATTAAGGGTATGTGATTAGTAAATCATTCCACTGATTGATTTGGCATAGTTCTGCCTAGAATTAAGGGTGTGAGTGCTACACCCACCCTAGGAATGGTTCCCTGCCTATAATACAAGGGGCAGAAAGAGTCTTAACTTCTCTTCTCTACACAGAGAGTTCAAGACTGAACTGAATTACAGAGCAAGACTTTGAGACAAAATACAAACAAGCAATCATCAAAAAAAAAAAAAAAAGAAAAAGAAGAGGTAGAAGAGAAAGAGGAGAAGGAGGAGGAGGAGGAGGAGGAGGAGGAGGAGGAGGAGCAACCCAGACTTCTTACAACCTCCATAGCCATTGTCTCGCAGATGCCTCAATTTTTTTAATTTATTAATTCTATGGAATGCGTTGTGTGCCGGGTACTGTGTTCATATGGCTGTATGTATTATCTCATTTAGTTTTCACAGCAAATCCATGAGATGAGAATTATGAGCTCCTACTTCACATACAAGAAAAATAGAATTGAAGAGATTAAACAACCCCCACCCAAGAGTTTATATCGGAAAAGTGACAAAATTAACATTTATATACAAAACTTTTTTTTTTTTTTTTTTTTGCGGTATCAGGGATTGAACTCAGGACCTTGTGCTTGCCAGGCAAGCACTTGTTCTACTGAGCTATATCCCTAGCCCAGGAATACAATTTAAATGTTCAAAATATTTCACAAGTTGTTTTGTTCCTCTGTTTTACTGCATTAGTTGGAGTTGTCAGGAGGGACCAATTTATATATGTATGGTCGCTGTATATATGAAATAGGACTTTATCACTATTAAAAATCTAGATCTTAGACTCTTGGACTGGTGGTTCTTATCCATCAGCTCGTTCAACTTTAGCTCCAGTCTCATCCCCAGTAGCCTTTCCAGAGCTGCTACCTTCACCATAAACTCCATGAGTTTTCCCAATTCAAACTTGGGCTTCTTCAGCATTTTTACTTTTCTGACGAAGACATCATGAAGAGGGTAGATAGACTGGCAAGCCTTTTCTATGTCTTTCCCATGCTGTCTGGAATCAGTTTATTGACCACTTCCTTCAAGTCATTTGTCTGCACCTCCCGAGTCATGATTTCCATCATCTTCTTCCGGATCTGGTGAACCTGTTGTTGCTGAGCGTAAGAGGTCTTCCGCATCTGATTGTTGCATTTTTTAGTAAAGCCAACACGGAACAGTCGAAGCAAATAACCATTGGTAGTCTTGACGTCATCATGAGCTTTGATCTTGGTCTGCCATTTTTTGACCATGGAACACATTTTGTCCCGGGTCCATGCCCTGGAAGTTAGTCGGGTGGTTTGTGCCCTGAACATCTTCAGTAATTAGCTTGAATTTTCTAAAGGCAACTTCATCATTCTGCAGGCCAGCAGGCCAGCAAGGCTCACTTCAAACACATGACCTTCGAGCCCATCAGATGCAATTTTGGTTCCTTGGGTTCTGCTGACAAGTGTCTTCCCCAGTATTTCTTATGTTGAACATAGCTGGTGCTTTCACATCCTACCAGTCTTTTTTAGAAAATGGATCAACCACCTTCTTCTTGGCTCCCTTTTCACTGCCATTTGTAAGGCGCTTGTTCTTGCCTGCCACCATGGTGCTGCTCAGAGAGCCACAAGGGCAGTCGCTGTACACACAAAGAAGTACATTTATCATAAAGAACTGGCTCACGCAGTTATGGAGATCAAGAAGGCCCAAGATCCACAGGGGGAGCAGGCAAGGCAGAGGCAGGAAGGCCAACGGTGGACTCTGACTCAAATGCCTCAGGGCCAGGACAGCCAATGGCATAGCTGCACTCTAAAGCAAGGCAGGCTCAAGGTGGTGTGAGTAAAAGTGCAAAAGAAACAAACAAAAACACTGATGTTTCAGGTCAAAGGTAGTCAGTCAGGAAGAACCCTTTCTTAGGAAAGCGTCAGTCTTTTCGTTGTACTCAACTGATCAGACAAGCCCATCTACATCAGAGAAGGAAATCTGCTTTACTCAGAGAATGGACTTAAATGTTAATCTCACCTAAAACATTCTGCTGGGGAGATAGCTCAGTGGTAAAGCACCTGCCTGGCAAGTACAAGGTCCTGAGTTTGACTCCTGGTACCAAAAGATGCTATATTTCATCCAAACATTCTATTAGAACGCTATTTTTTTTTTTTTTTTTTTTTTTTGCACAGCAAAGAGTACTGGGGATTGAATTCAGGGTTTCTCATGTTCTAGGCAAGTAATGCACCACTGAACTGTATCATCAACCCTTTTTATTTTTTTATTTTGAGACAAGGTCTTGCTAAGTTGCCAGGCTGGTCTTGAACTTGTAATCCTCCTGCCTCAGCCACCAGGGTAGGTGGTATTGCAACTGAGAAGGCAAAATGGATCTTTTAAAGTAAGATTTTTTTTTTTTAAGAAATAAGCTACTTTCCCAAATTTTTTCATACTAAGGGCATAAACTTTTACACACACACTCACATCATCTCAGGTTAGTGGACAGAAGGTAAAAATGATGCCCCCTGGGGTCCAGTGTCTTTAGGACAAGGAGAGGAGCCAGGAAAGAAAAAGCGAGAATGATGGAACAAAGCTGTATGGGAATGTCCCTGTCTACTGTCCTTTGTTCCCCCTCCCTTCTTCCTGACTACAAAAGCGCCCTTGCACACCTGACCTAGAGATGGCAAACGAGGCAAATGAGGCCCATCCACCTCCTCGGAGCTGGGCTTGGATGATACTGTTTTCCTTTCCACCAAGCCCCTTGTCTTCCTGGTGCAGCAAATAACAGGGACCAAAACACCAGCAGCAAGTTCCAGGGATGCACCAGCAGCCTGGACCCCAGAGTAAGTCCTGACCATGAGGCAGGTCAAGTTGGCACACAGCACAGCCCATCACAAGGCCAACCCTTGTCATCCAGGCACTTCAGTTTCTTAACTTTCCTCCAGATTAGGACACCCACATGGCCATAGTCCTAACTAGTATAATACAACCATCCTGTATCCAACTGACCAAATAACAATAGGTCTTTAGTCAGAAGACGGAGTAAAGTTTCTGAATGATGCTTACTCTTCTCCTTAATCTCCCAAAACTTAGATACTATGGTATTGCATAATAAGAGAGAAAGAGCAAACAAACAAACAAAAAAAAACCATTACATATATACACACAATCAAGTATAATCATAAGACCATGAAATACTCATAACAACTACAGCTCTCATTTCTCAGGTTATCACATGTATCTATCCCTTCCTTCTCGCCTGTTTGTCCTCTGCTATCAGCAGTCGCCTCAGCTGGCCATGGTTCTTTACCTTCAGGAGTGCTCAGAACCTTCATTCCTGAATTTAAGGATCTGGATCAGAAATAATCCCATCTGAACTAGGTTATTGTAGTTTTCCATTAAATCTTTAATCACATGGTGGAGTAATGTTAGAAGGTGCCCTGGGGAGTCTCCTGTATCTCAGACACACTCTTCATCATCTCCGTTGGGAAGAAGCTACTCAACTTTCCCCTGGTGTTCAAGATCGAACAACCACAGGTGCAGTTAAGTCCCTTCCTTGCTTGTTGAGTCAAAGGCATGAGGACTCTAAGCTAATTTTCTGCCCTAGTAGAAGCATTTCTCCCTTTGGAACTAAGACCTGTAGGCCAGAAGAGGATAATACTGTAGCAACAACAACAACAACAAAAAGACTGCAGCAACAAGACAAATAAAATCTCTAGGAACAATCATGAGTAATTCATTGTAAGAATCCCATGGATATGGGGGCTCTTCTGTGTAGTGAATCATGTCATTTACAAATAATAATTTTACTTTATTTCTTTTATGTGTATCCTTTCCTTTCTCAGCTTGTCATCCTTATTACTAACTTGAATAGGAGTGGTGATAGTGGATAGCCTTCTTTTACTCCTGATTTTAGAGGGAAAACTTCCAGTTCTGCCCTATTTAATGTGATGTTGGCAGTGGGTTTGTCATAAATGGCTCTTATCAGATTGTGAGGTCTTTCTATATCTATTTTCTTGAGTTTTTATCATGAAAGGATACTGGATTTTTTTTCAAAGGCTTTTTTCTGCATCTATTGAAATGATTGATTTTTTTGGTCCTTATTTCTATGTTTTATTGATTTGCATATCTTGAGTCATCCTTGCATTCCTAGCATGAAGCTTAATTTATCATGAGGTAAAAGATGTATAAGCTCACTTCTATTTGTTGCATTCTGCTTGCCAGTATCATGTTAGGATTTTTGCATCTATATTTATTAAAGACATTAACCTGTAGTTCTCTTTGTTTGGATCTTTGTGTGATTTTGGAATCAGGATAATGGTAGCATCCAGAAATGACTTGTGGAATATCCCTTCCTCCTCAGTTTCATTAAGAAGTTTGAGGGCCAGCCAAATAGCTCAGTGGATTAAAGTGCCTGCAAGCAGGCACAGGGGCTGGGGGTCCTGCTGTGCTGGCCCTGCCCCCAGGGCACGCTAAAATAGCAATTGAGACTGAGCATGGTGGCGTGCCTGTAATCCCAGTTCTTGGGAGGCTGTAACCAGGAGGACCACTACAAATCCAATCTAGTAGTAACACCCTGAACACCCTATAGACCAGAGGGAGG